AATCAAGTATTTTTTTAAATCTTAACTCAAATTAGTTCAATAAATTATTCATTTATTAAACTATTTAAAGAAATAAACTGCCTGTCAAAATTATATCACTCATTCATTATTATTACTACAATTCCGGTTATTGAACGCTGTTTGAATAATTGGGTAGATTTTATTGAAATTCAAAAGATGATTGATTTCCATTCCATCGATTCTTATTTGTAAAAGAGTAAGAAGAATATTAAATTTGTTGAGATATAAATTATTTCATTTATGCATCGATTAAATGATGATGGAAAAATTTATAAAATATAAACAATCATGAAGCATTGCTAACATTAAAGTAAAAAAAAAATCATGCAGCTTTTATTGTCAATTTATCTTTACATTTATAAATTTAAAAAGTATTAAAAATTTTTGTCACTATTAGGAAATTTTATTTTATTTTTGCTTCTCATTTTTTTTCCGTCTGCATATAATACAAGACATTATATTAATAGGTACTTTTATTGAATTTGAAAAAAAAAATTGACAATAAATGTGAAATACTTCAAGGAGATATAAAAACGAATTTCGGAAATAATGAAGTCATACGCTGTCAATTATAAAAATGCCATGAAAATTTAAAGAAATATTGCGTGCTAATCATTTTATAAAATAATTTAATTCAGGAAAAAAAGAGAAGAAAGCAGATTGAATTTGAAAAAAAAAATTAAAAAAAGAAAAAGTAATAATGGATGTGAGGAATATATGAAAATTTCCACAACAGCACAAGAATCATATCAATTTTAAACGCCCAAATAAATTGGATAAATTGAAAGAGAAGAAAATTTATAACTGCAAATTATATACCGCATTTTTAGAATAATGCTAATGGGCAATATTGGAAAAGTCACCATTAATTGAATGATTATTGTTATTTATTAATTCTCGCTTTGAGTGAATAATGGAAAGAATATTTTAGCGAATCAGATAATTGATGAAAAGATGATACAATTGTTACTATTATTATTATATTAATCATGGGAAAGAGAAAAATGCTGATAAAAGTTAGTAGGAAAGAGAATTCCAATTATGAATTCCAATTAAGGTAATGATAACACAGGATAAATATAAGAAGGTAATGAAATCAATAGACGAAATGTAGCGGCTAATTAATCAATTAGCAGATTTGGAAAGCAAATTATTGATGGGAAGGATTTGAGAAGTGTTCCTGTAAAACTAAACAATTGAGTGAACTGATTCTAATTAAGAGATGAAAGTTTTAAAAAAAGGTCAAGGATAATAAAATTAAAAATGGTGTAGAATTAAGATAATAAAATTAAAAATGGTGTAGAAAAAATGGTGTAGAAGACTTATATCATAGAAATTAAAAACTTTGTATTATCGTTGAGAATTGCAACAAAATTAAGCGTATGTAATAGTGCAAACAAATATTGTTCTAATGAAATATTAAATTTTGAAACATTCAAAAAGAAATTGATATATGAATCAGAGATGGCATTCAAATGTGTAGATAAGAAATTCAATTGAAAGCATAAAAATCTCGAATGTAAGAGATGGAAAAATAAAAGTTTAAGTCAAATTATTTAACATGGATTGAAATCATAACGTGAGAATATAATGAAATTAGAAGGAGGAAAAGGGAAAAGTTTACAGAATATCAACAATTAAGACTGAAAGTAAGGAGAAAATTTATTATCGGGGGAAAAAAAGCGGTTATTATTTCTCTTCCTAATGGTAATAGAAGAGGCTCTTCGTGTAATAGCAAAAAATTTGGAAAACATCTGGAAATGGTCGAGATAAAAGAAAGTAAAATGAAATTGACAAAGCTATCAGAACCATACGCATGTTTAAAAAAAAAATTTATTTACTCTAATTGTAAAATTTTTAAAAATCATAATCAAAAAACATGTAAATATTGCTTTTAAAATGAAAGAATGAAATTTAGGAAACAATTTTTAAAAAAAAAAGTGTAAATTTTAGAAAAATGTTGATATTAGTAGTTGCACTAGTGATTTTCAACTGTTTTAAAAATTTGTATGATCTTCGAAAAACTATTCTTAAGCATCAACATGTTTTTAAATTTTTTACAATTAGCGTAAATAAACAACAATTACCCGAGTAAATTAGAAAGAAGATACATTTACGTATAAGGAATACTTCGCGCTTCATCCATCTTCATTAGTGTTAAATATTTGAATGTATAAAAGTATTTAATTGGAACTTAAAATATTTTGCTCACATTCAAATCATAATACTGAGAATGAGCGCAAGTCTGTAACAAGGTAATATTCCCTATGGTCAAAATAATTAAATATTCCCCCAAATGAAGAAAGAACTCAATTTGTGCTTATTAAAGTCAAGACATGACAGCTATGACTGCTAATCTTTCACAATTTTTTTTTTTTTGGTGGTGTAGGAATTGGCATATTTCGGGAATTCATAACAATATTTTACCGTTTATCAATACACATTTTAATATTTGCTAATTGCCGATGAAGTCGCAATTTTAACAATGATTTACTATTACGACTTAAAACTCAAAGTATTGTTGTTCCGAAAATTGCCATAAATATTATTTATTGGTAAGCAAAATATACGAAGTAAATTGAAATTATTAATAAAGCTATTGCATGAAAGCAATTACAAGTTTCAAAGTTAATGAACACCGTTATAGACAAATGACATATTTCAACAACTAAATTACAAGTAACTTAGATTAGATATTGCGGAAGCATCCTACATTTTTATGCAATAACATCTAAGTAGTTCATAATAAAGCAAGCTGCTAAACCTAAAATCAACAATCTACATAATTCATTTAGCATCCTCCTCCAATTTTCAAAAGATATTTCAATTTATCAAAAACACAATCCCCCGATAAAATTTAGATATTTCAAAATAAATTCAAATTTCAAACAACAAAAACTAATGCATGAAATATTAATAAGCATTTCATTAAAAGACTTGAAAAGATCATATCATAACAGGACAAAAATGATTGTATAGGATGATGAAACCGTTTCCATATAATGATTAAAAGAGAGACTATGAGCTACGCATCAACTGCACGAAATATTAAAGTAGTAATATCACTCTGAAAAGGATGAGCGAAATTCAAGAATTAACGAAAGCATCAGATTAGAGTTGAAATTGAGAGATCGTTATAGATTATTAAAATATAAAATATTCGCATGGCACATTAAACAGATTGATCCTTCTAGAAGAAAAGAATTGGTGACATAATTCTTAATCACAGTGAAAAAAAAGATTAAAATGTGGGAAGAGAATATTATAAGATCTATTAAATGTTTCTGATCGATGTATTGAAATCTCATTGTTCGGCTTACTCATCTAAATGAGAATTAAAAATATATGAAGTCTTTGTTTCCGTTTTCTGTGAAACACTAAACACAAAACTGCTATCATAGTTTCTTTTACTACTACTGTCATTACAGTCATAATGACTATAGCGACAATAAGTATTATTTACAGTAGACAAAGTAAAGCATTATTTACACGAAAGATTTAGAATAAATTGAACTAACCAGAAATTTACATCAAATGATAAGAATGAATGACAAATGCTATCTTTTATCACATGAGTGAAAACTAAGTGCATAAGAAATATTTTCCTTATCTTTAAGTGCCATATTAAAAAGGCAGCTTACTGATTACTACGAAAATTGGCAGTAAGCAGCTAAACTAAAACATATATTGAAGGAAAGCTAGTCTTCATTTTCACGATGACTCAAAAATTCCTCCAGCGCAACTTCTTCCAAACGTTCTTTTTCTAAATTAAATTGATTTTGTAGTCGCAATTCATCTGAAAAAGGATTTAAAATTTTCAAAATAAAAAATCACAAATCCTATCAATATGTGTTGAATATTATTCCATCTGCCAAATTTTTTGCATTCTAAAATTAATTTGTTTTAATAAATATAATTCTGTTTGCAAGTAACGGATAAACCCGTTATTTTATTGAATTCTGTGTGAAAAGCATTCGATTTTTATAATCCTCTGGAAACTTAAAACTTATTCAAAGCATTTATGTTCTTGCATACAAACAAATTTCCTTTCAAAAATCATTCTACTACCACTAATTTGTATACAAATGATTATTAAATACATCATCAGATATTTTGATCAACGCTTCAACAAAATCCATTCCTGACAAACTATCAGAAAATATTTAAGGAAATCATAAGAGCCAAACCAACTGCATCAATAAATATATTTATAAATTCCGAGAAAATCTATCATGAAAAAATAAAAATGAAATGAACAAACCTTGATTCAATGCCAACGATGAATGACCAATATGCAAATTATTAGAAAATTTGAGAAAATTATTGATCTCTACTTTTTCCTTTCTTATTTCACTTTTCATTGAAGCGATATCTGCTTCAGTATCAGCGACGATTAGCAATGCCTCCAAATGTGTCATCGCTAGTTCCGTTTGTAAACAAAATCGATTCAGTTTGCTAATTTCGTGATTCAAATTCATTAATTCCTTTAAAAAAAGTTCAAATATATAAATTTTGCTGCAAAAAAAAAATGATTGCAAATAAACAAATAAAATAAAGAATTTTTCTAAAAAAATCTGATTTATATCTGCAAAGGCAAGACGAACAATGCAGTGCAAGACTAGCAAAAGATGACATTTTTAAAAGTTCCAAAAACGAGAGGTTTATAGAAAAAAAACAAATAAACGAAGGAGTATTCCAATTACCAGATCCTGCACTTGCCCATGTAGAAATGAAGGAACAGAATTGCTCGACAATTTTATTAGTACATTTGCGTTAATAAATTACAGGTAATCAAGAACCGCTTTTATCTCAACTTTTGGGTTTGCCGTTCAACAATTCATCTTCTCTAATTTATCTCTTAATAAACTACCAAAAGTAGAATCTTTTATTAAAGCCGGTTAACAAACCTTTGTTGTTTGATCTAACGTACGTAAATGGTTGTAACAAGCTAAAATAACTTCAGCACGTTCGTTACACATTTGTTGCGCTCGTCCCATACGAGTACTGCACAAATTTGCCAAACGTATATTTTCATCATTCATTTGCTCCATCATTTCAATGTTCAGTTGATATCTAAAAGTAAAAAAAAAAGAAAAAACTGCTATTCATAAGAATTTTCAAATGATTTCGTTACGTTGGTTAGAGTAAAAAGAAAATAAATGAAACTTTCGGCTAAATGCAAAAATAGAAATCGATAAACATATGTTGTAAAATACCACAGATAAAAATAACACCGTTAGTTTTCTATTTAAGAATATCATTCTTAACAATAATAATTCCCGAATAGATTCAGTACTTTGCGAAAAATTTTCATACATTTCGATATATCTGGAGAACATCATCATAAATCAGCCAAGTCTCCTAAACCCATCCATTTTTGAGTGTTAATTTCAAAATCTTTTTCAAGAAAGAAAACATACTTCAAAAGTAGATTGCTTCCAGCTTGTGTTTTCAAAAGAGATGCAATCGCTTCAGACGAACTTCTGAAAAGTGAGTGAAGTTACAAAAGTTTACGTGGTAAAATAAAATCGTAAATTAATAACTGAAGAGAGAAATCGGTAACAAAAATGTTTAACAATTTATATAAACAATCTCATTTAAAAATTTAAGTCTAATCAACAACAATAAATAACCTTTGTACAGCAGACGGTGTGCTATTTCGCAATTTTTGCACACTGAAAAAAATAGATAAAACAAAATATACAAAAGAAAAGGATTTTTGTGAACAAAAACTAATTGCAAAACTAATCAACCTATACGCAAATTGAGCAAATAATGCAAACAAAGAAAATTTTAAAAGAAGTTAATTTCCTCCTTCCATCCTCAAACATACGAGAATCCGAATATGATGAAGAACAAGTAAACAAAAATAAACCTGTTTGTGAGCTCATTTTGTACACTCACCAACGCATCAAATAAACTTCCAAGCATCTGAAAATCTCAAGAACAATACGAGCAAACTAGCAGATAATTCGACTAAATCAATTACAGTTCACGATTTCACTGTCAGTTATAATAATATTCTCTCATATCACTCTTCTATTTATTCGCCATGACCCTCATTAATAAAAAGTATCAAACGGCCCGCCTATCATTCGTGAACCCCACGAATCTTCCCGTCAACTTCCCCTACCCATCACACCAACACTCACTCCTTGGATTTCAATTCCAAGAAATAACACGGATCTGAAATGAAAATTATCATTTCTGAAATCAAATTACTTTCATTATGCCTTCAGAAGTATGGTCGTTACGAAGAAGTCAACGATTGAGTTATGATAACTCGCTTATCTGTCACAGCACAGATATCTGTCTCACTAACATATATCAGTTCCTTCTATACTTCTAAATCTTATTATCATTGAAATTTACACTCCTATTGTCCTAAAAATTGTAGAACACTCCAAATTTTCACTTTAAGCCATAACAATCATAAATATAAATTGGAACATTCAATCACTTTAAAGTTGGATATAAAAAGTTGCATTTATTCTAATATATTTGTCGTGCATTCAACAATAATCGCATTCGCACTCCAAAATAAGCGTTGCTGAAAATGCAAAACACCCTGGTTGTCTACAACACCCGGGATTCCCAGGCCATCTCCGATCCAAGTACTAGCCAGGCCCAACGTTGCTTAACTTGACAGATCGAACGAGATGTCGTGCTTTCAACGTGGTATGGTCGTAGACATTTCATAGCATTAACGAATATACCAAATTTTCTCATCCTACCTTTCTAGTTTGTTGTCCTACTAAGGAGTAGGACGTTCCAAAATTTTACTTTAAGCCACAGCAGTCGAGACTCCGGCTCGAGACATTCAATTACTTCAAAGTTCGGATTTTTGTCGCAAGTTTTGTCCACGAGACACCTGTGATGCAGCACTACCTTCAAACATTATCCATACGTACACGTGATCAAACGTGACTGATTTCTGTCCGTCATCATCTCCATCTCACCTTCCTTGAATCAGTTTGCTGTCTCGCTAAATAGCAGGACGTTCCAAAATTTCACTTCAGGCCAGAGCAGCCGAAACTTTGGGCCGAAATATTCAATTACCTCAGATTTGGGTAATTAAACCGTCTGGTGCAATTCTAACACGCTGACACGTTTGTACTGCATTCAACGTCGATTGGATTGTGCATCAATAAAAAGTTTCATTAAAGAACAAAAGCAAGTACCTACAACACCTGGGATTCCAATGCCGTCTCCGACCCAAGTACCAGCAAGGCCCAACGTTGCTTAACTTGACAGATCAAACGTGATGTAGTGCTTTCAACGTAGTATGGCCGTAGACATCCCGTAACGTTAACTGATATACTATATTTCCTCAACTTACCTTTTCTACTGGATCATATTTTTTTCCTGTTAATGTATTATAAAATTTCACTTCTGCCGGAATTTTTAGTCACCTTAAACTTTAGATGATAATTTTTAATTATCCTTAAGCTTTAGGATGATCACTTCCTTTCCGTATCGTTTTCGAGCATTGAGGAAAAAGTTCGTTACTACTTGAGAGCACATATATTCTAAAACATCCGAAAAATCCGAAAAATGCTTCATTTTCTTTCTTATCAATTAATGCATTTTTATGCTTAAAATGTTGGATTTAAATATGTGAAAGTGCTAATAAAATTTTAGACACATTCTATTTTAAAAGTTATTGTTCGACAATGATCCGAATATCAATTCAATAAAACACACTAAAAAGCATTTATGTTTATTAGATCGGAAGATTTAGCTCTTTTTTCTATATCAATGAAGTTTATACTGTAGAATTTGTTGAGTTCATCAAAAGTGAGAAAAAAATCCCAGCAACAAATCTCTTTGAACAGATTGATTCTCTAAATGAAAGATAACAAAGGATATGGATCATCAAATTATAGTTGGTTATCAATTATCCCATTAAAGAATACCTTTTTAGTTTTTCAGTTATTATATTAATATATTATCATGGAATGTTGCTATGTATATTATCATGAAATATATTATCATGGAATAATTGATAGAAACAATTTCTTCAAAATTAACAATATCGGTTAGTGTTTCTTTTTTTAGCATCACTATTTTGCATCTTCTTTTTCTCTTTTTTTCATGACATTTTTATAACCACTTTTAAATTTTCCAGGATGGTCAAAAAATTAAAAATATAATAATATATTCTGCAATATTTTAAAATCAATAAATGTGAAAAAGAATTCACATGTGCCGACTTTCACGTATTATTCATCATACGTTTTTATTACCAACCTATCATTTTGACGTTTTGATTCTGAAACTCACTATTAAAATTTCCAATGAGAGCAACTGAACCAATTTAACTGGTATTATTAAACTTCAAAGTAGATAGAATACTAACAAACTTGCCATCAGTTGCATAAAACACTTGACATTTCATATGACATAGTGAAAATGCAAGATGTATGTATGCATCAGAATCAAAAGAGGCTTGATTACCGAATAAGGCAGTATGATAAAAACTCAATTTCTTTTAAGCGTTTTAATTCAATTCGTTGAATAATACAAATCCTAAAATCACTGCAAATTTCAAAGTTTCCTAGACAAGATAATTTAATATTAATGATAAAATTCTAATTTCCATGCAGTAAACTAATCACCAAATAAACAATAGGAATGATTTTTTTTTTAAAAAAATACGTAGCAAAGGAAACACAATAAATGAGAGGATACACTCGGACAACAAAAACCTATACTAAGCATACTAAGCATACTAAGCATACTTTTTACTAAGAATAACTAATTCTACAAATTAGATGATTGAAAAAACTGTAACATTTAAACAAATAAACAGAAATAGATAAAGATCAGCGAGATTTTTCGAATTCTAAATAAGTATCACAAAATAGCAACAAACTTTTTTTCTTTTACATCAATTAACGAAAAATCTGTGGTAAGATGAAATTATTATCACCAATAGTACTCAGATAGAGCAGAATTCCAGAAGCAAGATCAAACAGTTTGGAAATTCAAAGTAATATCTCATTTCAACAGATATTAAAAATTTTAAACTCATAATAATCGAAGAGTACATATTACTAGCGGAACATAGGTCACTAATCGCAGAAAAATTCCTGAGTGAAACTATTTTCAAAACCTAATAGCATATCACCTTTCTTAAAGATTATAAAACATTTTACAAATTTGAAACCAATACAAAAGCAAAGGCGCATCTAAAGCAGAAAGCATCCAATATCGTTGAAAAGTCGTTAGGACAAAAAACACAAAAGAGATTTCTTTTACATGGAAAATTCCGATGATATCTTGCCTGACAATTCGATTTTATTTTGAACAGCATCTAAATTAAATGAAAAAACTATATTAAGTAAGCATTTTACAGAATCTTACTGTGATGAAAAAAATATGTGTATCAGATTAGTAAGCACACATCTTCAGACGTCCAACTGCACTTTTGCTTTCATATCGTAGTCCAAATATTTTGCTATAGCTGGACGCAATTCTTCGTTTAAGAAATTCGTGGTTTGAGAAGATGAGCGGCCTGTGAAGCATAGCGGTGATTTTGCCAGATCGAGTATTCGTCCACGAACCTGCAATTGAAAGTTTCTATCTATATTAGGCTCCAATTTTTCTTCTCAACATAATATTAGAGTGAAAATTTATTAAAATTGTCTCAGATTCCATTCTCCTTCCTTATCACTGACTATTATGTTGATTGTTATGTTAGTAAAAAAATGGTTGCTATCGAGACGTGGCTTCAAAAAAGAAAATCTCTCTTTAAAAATGTACTGGCATCCGGTTTATCATTTACATAACTATTTTCAGAAGTTTTACAGGTTATTCAAGATGCAAAGAGAAGTTTCCAAACATACTGGGAATTATATACATAAAATTCTGATTTCTACTTCCTACCAATCATCAGAGTAATTAATATATAACAAATTTTGAACACTAAAAATTTCAAAACATTTTTGATACCTTATCAAAAAAGACATCAGCCAAAATACTCTCCAAATCAACCCTTTCCCGCTTCTGCGCTTCTCTTGCAGCCAGTGTTATTTCGCGAATCTTTTCATGCGCTTCTTGTCGATCACTACCTTCTTCTGTCAGCAACATCATCGCTTTTTCCAATGCCAAAAATGGCAAATCCGCATGAACATTATATTCAATTCTTTCTTTATCCACTGTCAATCCCTCAACAATGTGCTGCAAAAATGAGAAACTTCATTTCATTAGTTTCAAATAAATAACAAATCCCAATTTATATGTGATTCATTTCCAGCTCCTTTTTCAGAGCAACACTTTGTATAATTCAATTTTATCTCCTTTGAAAGTTATTTTAAAAGGAAGTCATTTATGTCTTGAGTTAATCACTGGGAAACTTAACATGAATAAAGTTATGTCTAAAATAGGAAATTATGCATATTCACCTGAAATATAGTGAGAATTGCATCAGCGAGCAGAAACATATCAGGAATCAATATACGTCTGATAGCGGAATCATCAAGGGTTCTTTCAAGACTTTGATCGCCAAGTGTATTCAACGCGTCCTGTAAAAAAAAAGAAAAAAAAACTAGATATAGTAAAATCAGCATAAATCGAACAAAAGTAACTAGAAATTTACGGACTTGGAACTGTATGACAAACTAATCCTAATATAATGAAGAAACCATGTTGAAAGTCGATCATTGCAAGACCAGACTCCGGCAGATGGAACTGCAGTTAATCAAAGAAAGAAAATGTTAAGTGCATTCAAAATTAAAAAAAAGGCTTTTAAAACTTCTTACTAAACATTCTGTAATCCGTTTTTTATATGCTTTCTCATTTCTGATTTATCCTTATCTCGATAAATGGAAAATCAAAATTTACATACCTGAGGTGCACTCATTAGCTTTCGCGCTAAACTACTGACACGTTCACTTTTGATTGGATTACGTTTATAAGGCATTGCTGAACTGCCGATTTGCTCAGTTTCAAACGGCTCAAATATTTCACCAAAAGCCTAAAATCATTTCGAATTTTGTAATTATGTAATTTTTATGTAACAAAAAAGCATGGCATTTCAATGTTAAATCATTAAATTTTGTGGAGGTTACTTTCAATTTCAAAAAAAAATCGATGAATTTAAAATAGATTGATATAATGAAATCTAGGAAAAGCAGACCTGCAAAATTCGTATATCGGTGCAAATTTTCTTCGTTGCAGCTCCCAAAAGCGCAAAAATATTGACAAGATCACAGTCCTAAAATGAAAATTTGCTTTATAATTTATATTTGCTTATGATACCAATGTAAAAATTATTCAGACTTCGTATTCCACTGTTTGTAAGTCACCATTTTTACATCTTTCTTAGTTTTTTACTCATGGCAAAAGATCAATTGCTAAGCAAAAGCTCCAACGTCAGGAGCAACAAAGAACAAAACTTGTATAAACCAGTCTGATCTCTTTAAAGATTGATACTTATTTCTTATTTAAGCAAATTAAACTTTTAAAAATGCTATTTTAGTTACTCATAAAAATACCTGCTGTCGAGAATATGTCTGCCCACTGATATAGAAACGAGATGCAAAACCAGCACTTTTCATTATTAATTCATCGAGTTTATCCACCTGAAAATTGTTTGAACTTTTGAAAATTGTTTGTTAAGAAAAGAAAATCAAAAAGTGATGGCGAGGGGTCCTAAAAATTATTTTGAAAGCAAAATATTTTTCACACAATTTTTTGAAAAATATCGAACTATTAAATTTAGCTAATAGATGAATTACAATACATTTGGCACTAACAATCGTACATTAGGAAAGCTTATTAGAAAAGTCGGTGGCATTAATTTGAAGTTTACAGAACAATTAATACAAATTACCTTCGCTTCATCATTATGAAACAATGCCATGAATGAATCTTGCGTGCCCGTTGCACCTTTTACTCCTCGAAAACGCATATTTTCTCGGAAATATTCCAGCTGTGATTAAGCATAAATAAATCGAAATTATTTACATTAATAATATTATTGAAAACAGAAAAAAAAAGACATTGAAGAGTGAAGCGAAGTGGCACTTCTTATTGATAAGCTATTTTTGAAAATTAAGTTCAATTGCGGTAGTTTTCCTCTTTGTTTATTATAAGATAACAATGAAAAGAAGAAGTTTCAATTCTCTAATATTTTCCACTAATCACTTATAGTACTTTTATTTTATATCTTTCTAATTTAGCGTTGTTTTGCGATAGATAAACGATAACAGTGAAATGAGATATTTTAAAGTATTATTTAATATACCTTTGTAAAAACCATTAATAATTCCTGGGCCCACATCGCAGTGCGTTTACCAACAGTTACCAGTGATGCTGCTTGATAATGAGTCCGTCCAACGGTAACGATATCTTTCGTCCTCTCGGCGAAATCATCCAATCGGCTGAGACACACCGCAAGTCTGCAAATATTGTTATTCCTTTAACAATCTACAGTGTGAGCTAAGAACTGCTTCATGCGTTTACAGAGCGTAATCTGACATGTTGGTCAAAATAGAAAAAGATATATAAATTAAAAAGACACGGATTTATAAAGCGTATGAAATTGAAAAACCAATAAAACATATTACAGGAGACTTTGAAATTTAAGCTTAAAACATAGCTCGAGAAAATATTTTGAATGAGATGAAACCAAAATTTCAACGAACACATACTTCTTCATTATATAATCAGTAGCTTGGCGTTGAACAATTAAGTCGGCATTATCTTGGACAAAACATGAAGTTGCACCCAAATGTATTATTCCTTTTGCCTTTGGGCACATCTAAAAATAATTAAAAAAACTTCAGTTATAAAGACTCACAATTTATATCATTTTTAACATAATAACATATAATACAGCATAGCATACATTTTGCTTATAATTTTGTAAAATTTTCTGAACAAAGAACAATTTTCACCTTCCCAAATGCATAAGTATGAGCCATGACATCGTGCTTGATTCGTTTCTCTTCTCGTCGTATTGTATCCCAATCAATCACTTCCTTCGATTTCTTCATTTCTTCAATCGCCTCTTCAGTAACCTATAATCAAGAGAAGAGTATAATTTGTGAAAGCATTGATTCATTCTCTCTTATGTTAAGAATATATCACGATATTAAATCTCATCATAAAATTATCTTTTTTTATTTGTCATTCACATGACTCCATAACATATCAACATACATAATTATCTCTACAATCATTAATTGTATTATATTTACATAGCAATTTAATGGAGAAAAAATTCACTATAATAAAAATTGTTCCCTGAGAACAAATCTAAGCAGTTAGCATCGACATTTAACTTGGCTAATAACTATATTTCCTTATTATTTTGAAAAGCAGTTATGCAAAAAATAATAGTATGCATACTTGTTTTAGACCAAGTTGCATCTCCGCTTCTGCAAGCCAAATCCACATTTGTCTCCATATCAGTACCTTAAGATAAATTAAGAATCTCAAACTTGAAATTATATTTTTAATAGCGATGTTGTAAGCTCGAAAATTGTTGCATGTCCTCTTCAAATTCATGAAATTCATTTACACTGAAGTAAATGAATTTCAAATTCTTAAAATTCACTACATTGAATTTTGAATTCATTAAATCTAGTTTAATTAAATAAAATCAGTAATTATGAAACAACAAATTTTCAAAATCATAAATATTTACCTTATTTCTCTCGCTCAATATATTCATCAACGGGCTCTTGCCACAGTATCGTGATTTAAGCACCGTTTCAAATTTATCTTCACTATTAATATGAGAGATCATTGTTATTAATTTCTGGAAAATCACCGAAACTTTAGCCTGATACCTTTTCTAATTATATTATAAATTAAACTCACAATATTATCGAGAAAAAAAGAATGAAGAATATATAAGGATCTGTCACAAATTTACGATCATATAGCAAATCTTCAATAACCAAATTACAAAATTAAATTCGAGAACTTTCCGAAGTCCTCCTCAGTGGAAACGTGACAGACGTGTCACATGTCCACATGTAATAAAATCTCCATTGGGTACGATGACAAATTGCAAACCGTCGGGTTTGGATCTAAAAGACAATTTCATTTCAGTCTTTTGTCACGTGTTGTCGTAATTCTAGTTTTCATGTTATGCTGACTCTCACGTAATGCGTGACAGCTCTCACGTAGTATGCATGTAATGACGTTTATGTGATAATCTTACATTAAGGTAAAGCCGATTGAATTAATCAATATTTCTCTTAGCTTTATATTCCATACTTTCTCTATCGGTTATATTTACTATGTCCTATGCATTAATTAGTGGTTTATTCACTATGTCGCATATATGTATATAAAGCGTGTTTTACGTCGAATTTTGACAGAATTTTTTTTCATGTCACGTTATGAGTGATAATGCTTCCATGATGAAAATGAGATTTAAGAATATTTTGGGTCTTTTTTTTCAAATTTTTGTCTTCCCTTACTTTGCTAATTTAAATTGTATACTTATCACCAATTCCAATCACCGATTATAAGAATAATGTGTCATTAGTTATTATAACTACTAGTGATAACGATGTCAGTATGAATATCCCTGATTAAATCCTGATTAACCCTGATTAAATATCACTGTTAATAGTGATTTGTATGTGATAAGTCATTAGTTGTCTTCGTAAATCCTTTTTAAATGATATCAAAAATCTCAATCAATTTTTCAAGCAGTTATGGTCGCTGTAAACAAGAACCGAGAAAACATGAAAACAACGAAGAAGAAAAAGAAGAAGAATAAGGGAAAGGAAATCCGGAAAATGGAAGTTTCCGAGAAAGTAGCAGCAAAGGAAAAAAATGCAATTCCATCAACAAGTTCCAATGCAAATAACAACATGCAAGTTTCGCTCAACATCGATTATAGCTCTTTGCAAAGTTTGTTGTTTTATTTTTCCGATTGCGATATGTTTTGCATGGATCAATATATTTCTGAAGTGGATCGAAGTTAGAGTTAAGGATAAGTTAAGTTTATTATCACCTGACTTTTTGTTTTCCTTATTTCACTAAGCAAAAAAGGAACAAAAAAAATGACGTGTTTTAAAAAGGACTGGAATATTATCTTGAAAGGGAGTATCTGAACGTATCATTTTAAACTTGATGGTTATATTATTATTGAAATTCGGACTTCTGCTAATGCTGGATAAAAAAGATTGCCATATTTTTATAGCATTGCGATATGGAATCAGTGAAAAATTCAGTTCAGAAAGACATCTATTTTTAAAGAAAGATCCTACAAATCAATGTTCGTTAATTATCGCCAATATACCTCCATATATCACACCGGTAAGTGTAAGAATTTTCTGATAAATGAAATTTGAAATTTTTTGATTCAAAAATAAAATTGAAGAAATTAGATGTGGGAGAAAATCTTTTAAAAGAAGTAAAATTGTAGGTTACATTGGGACGAATTTTGGCTGAACTTGGTTCTGGTAGACCGGACGAAATAACCGCACAGCGTGGAACAGCGGATAATATTACGGAAGTATGAGTTTTCTGCAAATTTAATTTCTAATAATTATTTCTTTTCCTCTTCTCTTTCTTATCATCGTGTTCTTCAGGGCTTTTACACGGCATCCGCTCGCTTGAAAACGGAAAGTGCTGTTGAACAAGCATTAGAGAATTGTGAAAAGATTCCGTTTCTTTGTTTGAGTAACGTCGATGTCGAATTGGTACGAAATGGAGCAGCAAGTAATTTTAATATTTAATTTGCGAAACTCTATATTGCTTTGTCTGCATATGACAAACTTCGTATTTCATTTTTTTCAAGTTTTTGAATTACTGTTTAATGTTGATAGTAACTTTTTGGTGGAGGATGACAAGCTTCAATTGATATTTCATTATTTGTCTTATAATTTGCATAGGATATTATAAGAACTTCTTTGCGTTAGCAGAAACAAACAAAACACTAAATTGAGAAAACCAAAGCGAAAGTTGCGAGAATTCACAATTTTAAAAAATGCTAAAAATGGAAGAAGGTTATAAATAAAAAAATAGAATTATGAATTAGTGAGTCATTATTTCTTTATAGAATCATGTGATGAATATCGCAAATCCTTCAAGACGATAGCACAATTACAGGAAAGCGTGGACTCGTACATCAAAAAGCATGATGCTAAAATCCTGGAAGTATGACATCTATTTTTGTATGAAGTTTACATAAAGTAGTTGTTTTATGGTGCAGTTAGTTTACTATAAGTGATGTTTTCGTGAATATCCATTCCATTTGTGATCTTTCAGGAAAAACAAAAGGCAAAGAGAATGGCGAACGTTATGGACGAGGATGGATGGATAACTGTTACGAAATCACGTACGTTATTTGTTACTTTTTTGTTGAGAGAAATTCCCAGATTTTTTATTTGATCAAAATTGGTTGTTGAAATCCGATTTATATAGTTTATTAAACTTACTAGAATGAATTTCAGATTATAAGCCTGTACCTCGCGCTATTGTTGTGAAAAACAAAGAGGATTTGCTAAAATTGTCAAAGAAGAAAAAACGCGTGGTTTGTTTAATGTTTTGTTAAAAAATTACTAGTTTCAGATAAGATATCATTTCACCGATTGCCTTATCTATCGTTGTGAATTGTTGGGTAAGAGAGAAATTTTTACACAGAAGTTTGATCAAATCTTAGCTATAATAATGATTTTCCATCTTATAGAAGATGAATAATTTCAGGAAGACAACATTGCTTTCTATTCTTTCCAGTTGAAACAGTCAAAACTGAAACGTAAGTTTTTCTTTTTGTGGTATGAACTTCCGTTTTTCTAAACGAAAGATGAAATATTGCTTCTGTTATTCCATTCTATTTTTTTAAAGGCAGAAGCTGCAAAAGGAAATGAGAAGAGCTATAAAAATTAAGATGAATATATATTTTTAAATTAAATCCTTCAAAATTAAGAAGCTGACATCGTTTCAGGAAACGAAACACTTTACTCCTTCTTACTTCTTTTAGATCTAGAAGAGCTGAGACGGAAATTTGCCGAGGATAAGAAAAAGCTGGCAATTGCAAAAGCGGCAAGAAAATTCCGTCCAACATGAAATTTCCAATGTTCAATCCGTCACTGTTTTTTTTTGTGCTGATTTCAATTTCATATAACTGCCTAGACATAATTTGCAACAACAGTCAAAAATATCTTATAATTTGAATAAACTCTGTCATTAAAATTTGCATGGCTGCTATACAAATCAATCGCAGATAAAAAAAGTAGCATGCAAAAGTTATGATTTACTGCAAAGATGCTAATGATTGTTATATATAAAGATGGAAAATAATTACTTTTATGATATCGAACAAAACACAACATTGCTTCCATCAGGTTATATATCCTTTCATTTTTATTTTAGCAGTATGGCTTCTCTTAAAACGTAACAAGAAATTTTAATGAATCAGAAACTGATACTTCTATTTACTTCAGGAAGGAATAATTTCAGTTCTGACGAAAAAGATCGTCCTTTCTTTTTCTTTTCCATCCAAACATACCCTGTTTTTTTGTTTGCATTCTCTTTATTTCAATAAAAAAAGAAAACCGTACGCATCATATTATAATGATATAAGTACAATGGAATGTTTGCTTAATGGATTAACTAAACTGCTTATTGTAAGTTGCATCCCGATGGTGAAATGCTTATAACGGTTACCGCAAGTGATAGTTTACATATATATAACCGTAAATCACTACTGGATAGTGTTTATATGCGAATTGCATTGGATAGATGAAGTGGTGTTGATCATCGAACGAAAATAACATTATCATATCTGTCGAACATGTTTGCTCTACAAATTTTCAATACTTTTTTTGAAATTGTTTTCACTATTTTTATTTTTATATCAAAACAAAAATTATCTGTTCCATGAATAAGATGAACAAAAAATTCCGATCATAGTTCTTGTTAACTTGGCAAATTTAACAACAATAAAAAAAAAACTATAGCTGCTTTACTTTTGCTTGATATTGAAAAGAACATTTTTCTGTACATATTGGAAAACTGCTAAATGAATTTTAAAAAAGCCACAAATAGTTGTATTTATTTACAAAATAAAAATGATGAACAATTTGGCGCCAATTTTTGCTCAATACAACAATAACAGAAATGGAGTCAAATTTCTTGAAAAATTCTTAAAATTTAAAGTGTAAATTCATTGAATTGAGCAAATGTTGAAGATGTATGTTTGAAGTTAAAGCTAAAACATGTAAAAAACAAAAAAAGAAATGTTGAAAATCTTCCTATGGGCTGCCGTATTACATATAAAGATCGAAATAGACATGCGTCTATTGAAAAATCCTGTTCAAACCATAAAACATGAAGGAAATTGACAAAAACGAGGTTGAACAGTCAAGAATGTAAATACAATTTTTGTTCGCTTTTTCTTCACAAGATATTCACAAATATGAAAGATACCAGTGAAAAATTTAAAAAAAAAGGTGAATAATACAACAAGCAAGAAAAAGGTTTACTGGATATGAAATTTGAGCCGAAGCGAGTGATTGTTTTGATACAAAACGTACAATTAGTAATTTGGCAAATAAAAATCATCTGTATTAACATCAATTATTCTTCAGCAATTTGTCTACTTACTTTTAAAAAATCTATTTACTTATATGACCCAAGTTCACTAATTTCATAGCTTTTTTTTTTAAATTTGGAGCCTCTCATTAATCATTCCTCTTAAAATAATACTCCTTAATTTAATACTGAATTTATCATTCACCTCAGATTTTCAGATGGATTAAAATGATCATACAAAGTTCCTAAGTTTCCTAAGTAATCAGTTTTAACTCAAAATTTCAATTTCAAAAACAAAGTTCAAACGAAAAATCCACCAAATAATGAACAAGCCAAACAACTTCATCCAGTCGACTTTGAAACCAACGACTTTGTTTAACAGCATTTTGGAAAAAAGTTTCCAAACTTTTCGTATTTGAATTTTTCAAAAAGAAAACTAACTGTTTTATTTTAGACACATATCCATACACACACAGACACACACACACACAACACATACACACACACGCATACATCCATCCACATATATATTAAAAAACTGCATAGCTGGCCAGATCATATCAAACTCAATACCAATTGCATTTTTGCACAGACATATGACCATTGTTCTTGCTCTTGCCTAAAAAATTTTTGTGTCCAAATTATACA